CCTACCAACCACCTGGCGCCTCAATGCACCACCATCATCGATCATCATCATCCACCATCAAACATGAAGCATCATCATTCGTCATCAAACTATCATCATGATCCATCATCAAACATCAAACATCATCCATCATCAAACATCAAACATCATCATCAAACATCAAAAATCAAACATCATCATCCGTCATCAAACCACAAACATTACCCATCGTTATCAAACACCAAACATCAAACATGAACCATCATCATGAAACATCACATCATTTCCAGAACATCACCCTAAGAATCGTCACCAACGTTATCCTAGAAATCATCATCAACATTATTAAGAAACATATGGGCGGATTTCTTTAAGCCGGCTTCCGGGTTGTCTCACCCTCAACCCTCCCTGTAGAAAACAGGCATAAAGAAATCGTCGTAGCAATCATCAGCATCATCATCCTAAAACATCACCAACATCATCCTAAGACTCATCACCAACGTCATCCTAAAAATCATCATCAACATTATTTAGAAACATATGCGCGGATTTCTTTAAGCCTGTTTCCGGGCTGTCTCAACCTCAACCCTCGCTGTAGAAAACAGGCCTAAAGAAATCGTCGTAGCAATCATCACCAACATCATCCTAAGACTCATCACCAACATCATCCTAAAAATTATCATCAACATCATCCTAAGAAGCATCAGTATCATTATCGGCAGGAACTTCGGTCAGCGCCATGCTTTCGCCGTGAGTCTAAGCTGGCCATCGGCTGCTTTCTTGACTGCTTCCACATGCATGAGTGCACCCACAGCTTCCTGAAAAGTTTGGGATGACATGTTGAAAAAATTAGGCAAAATGTCGCTGGGCTGCAACCATCCAGGGCGTGGGCCACTCATGTCAAGCATACACTCAAGAACCTGCGAAAGAGGATCTTCTGCCGCATCATGCACAGCTGTCTCTGCAGGCTGTGTTTCAGCTGAAGGCAAAGCAGAGCAGCAGAGCTTAAGGTTGTTTGACCAAAACGACTTATGTTCATGCGGGCTGTTGTCACAGAAGAGATTGACTTTCGCCACACTTCTGCCTGTTGCGGCAAACCAAGCTCCGTCAAGATTTCGGCCTGGAATTTGGCCATCCGGCAAAAACTTAGAGGAACAAACATTAAATTAGGGTTAGGGTATCGGGGCTTACAGTTGAGCGCTTATTGTTTTGGGGTTTAGGGTTTAGGGTCAAGGGCTTAGGGTATAGGGTTGGTCACGGCTTTGTGTTTTGGAGTGCAGATTGGAAAGCCACCTCGCGGCGAGCAAGAACCACGGCAGCGTCGAAGGCTCTGTTGCGAAGCGCACCCGACGTCGTGGCAACTGTCTTCAAGTGAGCTGCTTCTATGATCTCCCTGCAAAAGGCCATCTCATCAGTAGGGTTTCTCCAGTGCGCAGGAAGTACCAAGAAAGGAATCTTCCGCTGTCGCAAAGGTAAAAGACTCACGAGAAGAGGTAGGTCCTGCGTTACTTGTTTAGGTTTTAGGGTATAGGGTTGAGGGTATAGTATAGGGTTTAGGGTTTGGGGTTTAGGGGTTTAGGGGATTAGGGGTTTAGGGTTTAGGGTTTAGGAAGAGGTTTAGTTTACCTGTTGCCTGCGCATTGTGCTTCTTGGCTATCAAGGCACCCAGGGCTGCCCCTGGCTCGAGCTGTGGCTGGAGAGTGGCCCGATCTGTCGAAGTAGCCGCAGAGGAAGATGCTGTAGTGGCATCATCACCATCACCGCATGTTCTTGCTCTTTTGGCCCGGGGAGGCGTCAACAAGTCAGTGACCCCTTGGAAACGATCATAAGTATCAGCATCCATGGCTGAAAAACTGCGGACATATAGCAGCAACTTCAGAGCAAGAAGACAGTGCAGACTGACAGAAGCTAACAGACTAGGCGAGACTGCAGAGT